AAAATATAAAAACATATATTATATATATATATATATATATATATATATATATTAAATCATGTGATCCTATGCATTATAGCCAGCCTGTTTTACAAGGGGTAGGATTTTTCACATAAGCACCAAGTTCGAAATTCGAGTTGCATATGAATAGTAAGTTAATATAAATTTAACTAATAAAGTTTTTTTGATTAATTGATTTATATATATGTGATGAGTTTTCATGATGATCAGGTTGGTGGATGGTGTGATTAGGCTGGCTACTAATTGATGAGCTTTATTGGTAGCTATATGATTTGCTTGAAAAGAACAGGTTCCCTTCAATACTTAAATCAATAAATTTATGAGAAGGGTAAAATTAAAAAGAAAAAATAAAATGTAAGTTAGAGAATAAATATCTAGATTTTCAAGGGTGTAGCTCTAATTGTCTTTCAACGTGTGGAGGCTGATTTTCATGGGTGTGGAGGCTAATTGTCTTTCATGCCTTGTGTGGCAAGAGTGGTCCTGGTTCCGAGGCCTGACTCTGCTCTGATTTGTTTGTCCAGTGAATAAATGAATTTATACAATTAGGCATTGGAATTTATTAATGGAGAAGGATATCATATCAGTGGTAAAAAAATTAGTGCTGGATCTTTGGTTGTGGAGGTGTTCATCCACTAGAGAAAGAATGGTGCTCTGTGCATTCATGCTTTTTGTATATGAAAAAAATCATTAGGGAGTCGTGTTTCCTTGGTGGTTGATGTATTATTATTATTATTGTGTCAAGTATGTTATTAATATAGAAATAATATCTATTTTATATATAAAAAATAATAGGCGTATAAAAATTATGTGCATGAAAAATTTATATATCCTAAAAATAACTTAAAAAATACATAAAAAATAAGTTGAGAAGAATTAGACAAACCAAGTAAATATGGTCTGCACTAAACTTCCTGCCATTTTTTTCATATAAATTGTGTATTATCAATATGTTATCAAGGAAGTTATATAATTTTTTTAATATTTCGTAACGTACTAAACTATATTAGTACTCTACTTATGATACTTTTAAAATTATGTTTAGGTTGAGATTTTTTTTTTGTCTTTAAATAGCTTTAAAAAGTATATTTCCTTTAAAATTATACTTTAATTTTTTTTTGGTCTTTAGAAGTGTATTTTCTTTCCCTCTCCTCTTTCTCTTGCCTATACATATATATATATTTTTTTCCTGGTTAACTAACTTTTTTTTTACAGCAAACTTTCTATAAAATCTCAATTATTATAAGAAAAATAGTTTTAAAAAGATAATTAACATCAAATTGATATTTTTTTCTAACAAGTCTCAAGCTTTAAATCAAACTAATTCATTAACCGAAATAGTTCATAATAGAAAATCAGAGTTATTTAGTTCCATTGCAGAGCAAAATGCTAGTTTTCATATTGGATATATATATATATATATATATATATATATCCATCCTTTTTTTTTTTAAATACTCACCTACTAATAAACACACATATTTGATATTGAATAATTCCCTTAATTCATTACATATATGGAAATGGCTAAGAACAAGCACATCTTTCAAACAAGTGGGAAATCCCTTTCCCCCCATTTTTTTTAACACAAAACGTGCGGTTTTTCATTCCACGATGACCTTGTAATAGGTCCAAATTTACAGAAATCGAAGAGTTAAGAGCCCTCCTTCTCTAGTTGTTTCATCGTCAAGAACAAGTAATGATGTCATGAAAATGTTCTTTTATATAGGGAGGTGTGGCTGTTGTTATTTGAACACGTTCTACGTTTCTGTCGTCCGTAGTACAAGAAAGTGATTTTCAAGTTGTTATCTAAGCTTATATATATAGGGAATCCCCACTATTAATATGAACCACAACATTGTAAAGTCGACACCATAACAACAATGACATTTCAAAATATATAGTACTTCGTAGTACCAAGTTAAATTTAATTGTGATTCGCAAGAACATTGCTGAGATTTTTATTACAAGGTACCATGTTTAAATTTCAGAATGGAAGAGGTGGGAGTTCTTGAATAATGAAGAAAAACCAAAGGATTCTTTGGTGACGTTTGCGGCTGGTTTCGAGATTTTAGAAAAAGGAATAAAAAAACATTTTTTGCTATAAATTTTTTATTTAAAAAATAAAAAGATAAAATTAAAACCATAACTTGAAACAATGTATGACAAAGGAACGAGATTTAGGGGATTTTAGAAGTATAATAAACGAGATTTAGGGGATTTTAGGAGTATAATAATAATTATTTTTTAAAATATTTTTACTTAGAATTACATCAAAATAATAATTTTTTAGTTTTAAAAATTATTTTTGATATTAATTATAAAAATAATCTAATAATATTAAAAAAATTTAAATAAAAAAATCAAAATTTATCTAATCCTGCTTGAAATGCAATACCAAATAGGAACTTATTAACTTAAAATTTTAAAAAATAAATAAATTATAAAAAAACTAATCACAAGTTTGAATATTTTTTTGAAAGATGATTGGTTTCATCAAATAGCAAAATAATAGCTTGAATAGCCTAGTCACTCATGTGCTGAACATAAAATAAAAATAACATAGAATTGTAAATTAATACTGAAATAAAAGGATTAATCGACCATATTTATAAATATTTGCCACCTTATCAAGTGATTAATAGAACTTAAACATGAGAGGTTTAAATTGACTGAATTTCTTCTTACCATCAAAACCAATTATTTAAAGTTGCTATAGAAAAATAAAAGGTTAAAAAAAAAAGGAACCAAGCTTTGCCATTCGGGGTAATTGGAAGCCATATCCCATTTTGGGGATGAGAAGAAGGGTAAGGTAAACAGTGATGTTAAATTGATGTCCATCTCTTCACGCCTTTCTAGTTACTAGTACAATGGCCCGTGCATCTCCGTCCCTATGTACGATGGGAACTACAGTTGCATGTACAAATTGTCTTATATATATATATATAAATTATTAAGAGTGGAGAAAATGTTTTTTGGTAATGTAATTAAATTCAGTTAAATAAGTAAATCTTGAAATTTCTTAAGTCGGCTATTTATCTAATGCAAATTTCTAATTAAAAATATAATATGAAAT